AATAACATGAATTATTTACTAAAAAAAGAAGAATTTTTAGTCGTTTTAAAGTTAATCATAGAAAATGTTTAGTTATAAAGTTCATAAGAGGGTGAAGATTTTTATGGTCTGAATAGTGACAACTTAATTGACAAAACATGTATTGACATCTTTTAAATAAAATTTTTATAATAAAATGAAATTTATATTTTTTTTCCTATTTTTTTTTCATTCCTACAAAAGTTTCTCTAGCAAACACCCTGTTTGTAAAAATTTTTCTTCTCTTCCTTTAGGTATAATTTAATAAAATTGGTAAATTTTTGAAAAAAAGGCTGATTCTTGATGTTATTTGTCGTCGTCATTTTTTACTTTTTTGTTTGTCTTTCGCTGTTTCTTTTTTTCGTTTTCTTTTTTTTTTCTTTCATTCTTTCTTTCTTGCAAAGTTTCAACACTCTATTTGTAATAATAACAATGTTTTCTCTTTTTTCTACTCTTACTTTAAAATAAAATTTAATAAAACTTAAAAAATTTTTTTTAAAAAAAATTATTCTTGCTATTATTTAGAAGTCGTTGTTGTTCATTACTTTTTTCTTTTTTGTATGTCTTTCGCTGTTTTTTTTCCTTTCATTCTTCCTTTCTTTCTTGAAAAGTTTTAACACGCTGTTTGTAATAATAACAATGTTTTCTCTTCTATTCTTACTTTGAGGTCAAATTTAATAAAATTTGTAATTTTTTAAAACTAATTCTTGCTATTATTTAGAAGACGTGATCGTTTATTGCTTTTTTTGTTTTTCTTTCGCTTTTTCATTTTCTCTTTTTCCTTTTCGTTCTTTCTTTTTTTATTAAGTCTCTAACACGCTGTTTGTAATAATAACAATGTTTTCTCTTTTTCTACTCTTACTTTGAGGTAAAATTTAATAAAATTGGTGATTTTTTGAAACAAAAGCTAATTGTTGCTGTCGTCATTTATTACTTTTTCTTTTTTTGTTTGTCCTTCGCTGTTGTTTTTCGTTTTCGTTTTTTTTTCTTTTTTTTCTTTCATTCTTCCTTTTTTCTTGCAAAATCTTAACTGACTGTAACAATAAAAATGTTTTCTCTTTTTCTACTCTTACTTTGAGGTAAAATTTTATAAAATTTGTAATTTTTTTCGAAAAAAACTCTTACTATTATTTAGAGGTCGTCGTTATTTATTACGAGTATTTTTTTCTTTTTTTGTTCGTCTCTCGCTCTTTCTATATTTTTTCTTTTTTCCTTTTTTTCTTGCAAAGTCTTAACTGGCTGTTTGTAACAATAACAATGTTTTCTCTTTTTCTACTCTTACTTTGAGGTAAAATTTAATA